TGTTTGCGTTGGTTAGCTTGTTCCTGCTTGTTAACTGTATCCCGTTTGCGTTGGTTAGCTTGTTCCTCTCAGCTGCTTGGCTGTCGGCTTGGCTTTAAGTACTAGAACTGCTAACTTGGCCTTTCCTGTTCCATGTTGAGACCCTAACCCCTAGATGACTACAATATCTAAACCCTAAACCCTCTCTGTATTGCACCAATATCTCATGTTACTACACCCCTAAAATCGTAGATCCACTACCACTTGGATTTAGGTGGTAGAAGTACTAACTAGGGCTTTCCTTCTTTTGTCTAAACTGTAGTCCTCACATGTGAACCGCCTTAAAACTCTGCTATTCTGAATTCTGTTAGCCCTAATTCTGTCCGAACCTTAAACCCTAAACCCTCAAGTATAATTTTTATTCTCCAGAAACACACACTCTAGATCCTTTCTAGCATTTCTTAAAGTCCCTTTAAGCAACTTAGCCTTTCAACTCACGGTACCTGTGTCCAACTTCCTTCAGTATTTCGTGAACCGCTTTCATTCCTCTCTGAACTGTCTCTCCGTTGCTGCGGCCATTGGTCTCCCTTGTGGTAGTTTGGTCAGCATGTGTTTTACCCGCCCACCGTTGTTTGTTGCTGGTAGCCCTTTCCTGGATTTGAGTCGTGTCAGTCTTTCCAACAGATGCGGTCTTCTCTCAGGTCCGCCGCTTTGCCATTTACCAGCCTCGTTCTGCTGAAACTCAGTCTCGCCTTCTTTTGTTGGTTCTCATCCTCTGTCCATGACTGTGTGATCCTTCAGCATTTGCGGCGGATTTCAGTTTGTATCATCATTTTTGTCTAAGCTCGTACCTTCTCTTTTGAATTGGCCACTCTTTCAATCGTCCTGCTGCATCTTTCCTTCCATATGATCTATAGCGTCACCCTTTTTTACTCTGCATCAAAGGGTGCACTACATCTTCTACTGCGTCTTCGGAGCAAACTGTGCGTAACTCCTAGCTGTCAGGATCTGTGGCTTTCCATCTGGTGTGTAAGCCTTGAATTACCGGGAGGGCAGCATTTATGAGCAGTCACTGCAGGCCGTTAGACTGGCCTTTTGCTGGAGCTGTTACTGGGGCTCTTGCTTGTGTCGGGTCCACCTCTGTCCTTGGATGTCTTATGAAATACCCTTGAGTGAAAATTCTATGGTCTATCTATTTCTCTCCCCCCTATAATGTGATGCTTGCTGTCTTGGTCGCTATCTTGCTCCCCTATACTTTTTTTCTTGTCCCAGGTCTGAGCTTTTCCTGAGCTTAATATATCCGTCMTATATATGTGACCCTGTCTAACCTGGAGTGTTGTGCTGTCGTATCTTTCGGTGTTGGTTAGAAGGTGGGTTTCTGTTGCTGGCTAGACGTCGGTGTTCTTCGTTCACACTAATGTTCCTTGCATTTGAATTTAAATATTATTGCTGAAGTTGATGCTGATGTCAGCCTGGTGATGATGAATTGTTGGTGATGATAGCGATGATGATGATGATGATGATGATGATGATGATGATGACCATGACGATGATGATGATGATATGTGGCTCCATAGCTTTCTTCTTTGTTTTGATTGTTTTTTTTGTTGTTTGTTTGTGTTTTTTTTTTCGTTCAATATTTTCGCTTCGCTTGCCAGGTGGTGTGTTCCGCGGTTTCGCATTCTCTTCAGTTCCCCGAACCGTCGTCTTCTCTCGCCGAAGCTCCGTGCCTTCGTCATGTCGCAGGACCGCGGCAAGGGTCCGACGCCGGCGGACCCTTCCACGGGCCCCAGGCAAGGTCATAACACGAAGGCGTTCGAGTCGCCTTTCAAGGTTGATGCGAAGGTCGACGGGAAGAGAGATAATCCAGTGTGGCATTTCGTCGCGAGAGGTCGTTATTTGGATGGCTCCACGGTGGCGGGTAGGAAGCTTGGTCGTCGCTGCCTATGCAGGTTGTGCGGTCGTTTTATTTGCGGGGGCGCCAAAGCTTCCAGGGAACACTTCTCGAAGAGCGAGAAGTTCCGATGCGAGGCGACCACTCTTGCGGTGTGGTATGCCATCTGGGCGAAGGACATGACCAGATGTCCGAAGGAGTTCGTTTCGGCCATCGAGTCATTGCAGAGCTTAGATTCAGGTCATCCAAGGTTCCAGTGGCCACCGTTGCGATACCCCGAGGACTCGGTCCCTCCTCCCGTTTCCATGACCGCCCCCTCTTGTGCGTCGCCATTGCCTGGTCTTGCGGCTCCAACTGACGAGGTCACAGCTCCGCTGCCGGCGAAGGCATGTCCACCACTTCGGCCACATCCTACAGTAGTCGGGACACCGGGTGCTCGGCATGAGCATGTTGGTCGGTCATTGCCGGCCAACGAGCCCCCATCTGTTAGGGAGGGTGGAGGCGTTGCGGCATTTGACGAGGAAAGCACGCGTGCTTTCGTCGACAGTCGCAGGTGGGGGAGGGATGCGGACTCTTCGGCCGGACTCACCCCTGTGTTCACCGCTGCCAGACAGTCATCTGCCGCACGGGCTACTAGTGTTGTGGCACCCGCCGCACCTGCCCATCGTTCGTCGGAGCACCCTTGGCTGCCGCCTCCGCCGTCGCGAGCGGCACGGGATCATGTTGTCGGACATGTCGATGTGATGGACAGACCAGATCCCATGCACGTGGCTTCAGATGCTGGACATCCTGGTCCCCCTTCCCGAGTCGGGGGACAGGCGGTGCCCGGGGTGCCTGCTGAGGAGGTCCTCCCTCCGACATTGCAGTCGCCCAGAGTGCGGCACCCGCGAGTCCTAGTTGGTTGTTGGATGCCGGGGTCCTCGGTGGCCGAACCACGACGGGACGAGGCCGGGGGACTTATCGCCAGCAGGCCATGACGTCGTATTATTCGGACCCTTTGGAGCGCACGTGACATTTGTAGATCATGAGGTTCCTCGTCGAGAGCGGGATGCCGTTCAACTGCGCGAAGCTCGAAAGCTTCAAGCGCATGTTTACAATGATCATCCCGCCGGGGATTCCCGGGGCGCCCACTCCTAAACTCCCCACCTACCACATGCTGCGCACGACCCTCTTGGACGAGCTGGATGCCGAGGTCGAGAAGTGTGTTCGCCCTGTTCTCGACACGTCGAGACAACATGGTTGCACAATCATGACGGATGGTTGGACCAACATCAGGGGTCAGACATTGTGCAACTACCTTGTCGGGACAGAGACAGGGGTAGCGTACGTGGCCACCGACATCATGCGCGGCAAGAAGGACGCCCATGCGCTCGCGACCGCGTGGTTGAACAGGGTGAAGTCCCTGGACGTGAACTTGAGCGACATCACAGCGTTCGTGACGGACTCCGCCGGGGTGAATGTTGCGGCGATGGACGTTTTCCAGAAGAATGAAAGCGTCAAACACATCTTCTGGATTCCGTGTGTCGCCCACGTCATGGACCTCATTCTCGAGGACATCGGCGGGATTGATTGGGTGGCTTCCTGCATAGCTCAGGCGAGGCTGGTGACGAGGTTCTTTAAGCGCCATGGCCACGCGCGAGAGATTCAAGAGGGGCACTCGAAGAAGACTCTTCTGCTGCCGACAGAGACGCGTTTTGGAACGAACGTCATCATGATGGAGAGGCTGGTGGACCTGCGGGGAGAGCTGACGAAGGTTATAGGCGACAAACGCTGGCGTGAGACGGTTTGGTCCACCAACAAGATCCGCAAGGACGCTACGGAGGTTACTGCGTGCATCGGGTCTCCTCCGTGGTGGGAGGATCTGATAGCTCTGTATAACATGCTGCAGCCCATCATGGACATGTTGAGGTTGGTGGACAGCGACACGTGCCTGATCAACAAGATTTTGCGCCGTTATGAGGTAATGACTGCATCTTGTTTGTCCGCTTGCAAGGACATCGATCGGGACCAGCAGGACGCTATTCTGGAGGTGTTTGCCAGGCGACGCACCATGTTCCGGACCCCCGCCCACACAGCAGCCATGTTGTTGGATCCCGAGTTCCGGGACCCAACGCTTATTGACGATGATGAGGTGCAGCAGGCATTGGTCGAGGCCCTTGTCCAGTTCGGCTACCCGGAGGGATCGCCGCAGCACACAGGGGAGCCGCCTTTCGATCACGTCACCATGCGGCGGGCGGTGGATACCTTTGACCATCCTGCCAGTTTTTGGTCGCCGAAGAGTGCGAAGTTTCCTCACACGGCCGTGTTCGCCGGCAGGATCCTCCGCATTTGGGCGACGGCGTCACCGTGCGAGAGAGCCTGGTCTCGCTGGAGCTTCATTCATTCAAAGTCTCGGAACAGGTTGGAGGTCTCTCGAGCTGAGAAGCTTGTCAGGTGCCACTGGAACCTCAGGCTGCTCGATAGACCTGCGTTGCATGAGGATGGAACTGGTGAGAGGCCCGACATCTTCGGAAAGTGGTTGCATTATTGGCAGGCCGTGGAGGACGAGGTCCCCGTGGATCATCCGCTCATCAGAGGCAGTGGAGCACGGGTGATGGTGATTGAGGAGGAGTTGACCCACGCCAGAGAGAGGATGCGCGTCGTTTTCCGCATGGGAGTCGAGCGTCGGGTGGCGGAGTCCGACAGGCGCCAACGCAGGGCCGGAGGTCGCGGACGAGCAGTGGCCGGAGGAGCGACACGCGGCGACGTGCGTGCAGGGGCGCGGACACGACGACGGCAGGCGGACGATTTCGTTCGCAAGGCTCGCGTGCRTTGGGACGAGGGAGACTTCCTGTTCGACAGCACGTCCAACGACGACGACGATTTCTTCGCGTCAGACACACCGGCGGCCGCGGACATTGATATGGCCGACGACGACGATGGAGGAGGCGGGGGCGGGGGAGGTGGCGATGGCGGAGG